TTCTTTCCCTAATATATGTAGTGTGTGTTTATATATCCGGTGGGTAGTGTGTGTTCCAAAATAATGAAACAGAAAAATATGAGTCTTGAACTCACGTTTACCTGTTCCAAATGGAAAAAACAAAGACACAAATAATGTATTTCATATCCATGTTAGAATTTGAATCCTAAATAACATAATTAAGAGATTAAAACTGCTACCATTTTTTCTAACCAATGTTGGTAATTATTTAAAACCATGATAATGAAGCTTTTGTATTTTTTTTTGTTCATGAAGTTTTTGCATGAATATGGTTATTATTATAGTCCGGCCTTGGGACTAATATGCTTTTGCATTAACAATTCAACCTACTCTTAATATTTGGATAATATTTTTTTTAACAAAAGACCTATATGTATTTTAAGAAAATAATGAAGTTTTTAAATAATAAATAATATATATACTAATAATATAAAATTTTATATTTTTTTACAGGATAATAACTTTTATATAAAAAATTATAAACTGATATTTCATATTTATGAAATTCTTATTTTAAATTCTCATAAACCTATTTAAACAAAATTCACCTTGTTACGAAGTAAAAAAAAAATTCACTAAAATTATTCTAATGATTAAGAGGAGATTAAAATAGTAAAAATATGAAAGTTATATTTTATCTTCTTACGATTATTTTTGGAATTTTTTTCATCTTTACCAAATAATATAAACAAGCATGGCATTTTGTTGGATGGTTGGGCTTGACTTTTATTTTATGGCCCTCAACTCAAAGGCTTGTAGGTTGTTCAACATAAACTAGGTCCAACCAAAGACTTTGCCTATTCTCTACTTTCTCCTTCACTGTTTCAATTTTCAAACATCCACTTCTGTTCTTCTTCTTCTTCTTCTTCTTCTCTCTCTCTCTCTCTCTCGTTTCTTCTGGAACACAATAGCGATGCTATTAAAAGACATGTTTTTCTTCAACAAGGTGCTACTGTGTGGTCCATACTTTTAATTAAACTTAAACCAATTGTCCTTTCTGCTGTGACCAACAATGTGCTTCTTCTTTTTTTGGCAACCCTTCTAAGTTACCATCATGCCTCTTATTTCTTTCTCTCTCTCTCTCCGTTTTCCAAAACTTTTTTTGCACGCTGGAAGTAACTCTTCCCTCTCTTAGCATTTATTTTTCAAATCTATTGCTTCCAAGAGCAGAAAAAATGAATGCTCTGAGCTTCCTCTGCATGTACCGATCCGACCCATTATTCATAAATGTAACTTTCCTTTTTCTGGGCCTGTGTAACTGGAACTAGTGCTTTTAAAGTTTCCGTCTTTCATTCTCTGCACCACCAAATTTGATGATATACCATATACATATATATACATATATTTTGCGTTTGACTTGTGATGTTTTTCTCTTACTTGGGTTGTAGGACATTTTCTGTAACAGGAACAAGTGCCTTTAAAGTTTCTGTCTTTTATCCTTTGCAGCACCAAATTTGATCATATCCATATCTTTTGTATTTGTTTTGTTTTGTTTTGTTTTCTTTTTAATTTTTTTTTGCCTTCGATATGGTTGTGATGTTTTTCTCTGACTTGGGTTGTAGGACATTTTGGTCATAAAGCCTCAGAAGAAAACTCCACTCTTGTTAAGGATGTCGGTGTTGGTGTTTTCAATGGTGTGTGGTGTTTTCATCTGTTCCGTGTGTCTAAAGCAGATAAGTACTCATGCCAGGACTATGCTTTTGGAGTTGCAAGATATTGAGAAGCACTCTCAGAGTAGTTTGAACCTAAATGACGTTCATTTGTTGCATTACCCCAAGCCTGTGTCTTTCAACAGGTAATGGGAAGTTTCTGTGTTATGGTCAATTTTTTTTGGCTTTGGTTAGGCCTTGTTAATTGACTTTTGGCTTTGGTAGGAGTGAGTGTGCTGGTAATCCTGTACGGTTCTTTGCCATATTGTCAAATCAGAGATCAGGCAGTGGGTGGTTTGAGACCCTTTTGAATAGCCATATTAATGTGAGCTCCAATGGGGAGATTTTTTCAGTTAGAGAAAGAAGAGTAAATGTTTCTACCATTGTGCAGACTTTGGATAAAGTTTACAACCTGGATTGGCTCACTAGTGCTTCCAAGAATGAGTGCACAGCTGCCATTGGATTCAAGTGGATGCTTAATCAGGTAAAAGTGCTCAATGTTGAATCTTTTACCAAAATGTAGTGAACTTCTATGTGCGTGCCAGGTTCTCCTAGGCTTATAATATGTCATACATAAGTGTTTCAAGAAAGAGGAAATAAATCTTTTGTTATTTGTTTTGTATGCATAAATGTCCTCGTATTAATGGCTTAGGTTGGGATTTAATTTGATGCCCCCTTCCTCGCGTCTTTGATGTGAAGGATTTAAGCGAAACTTGACCCATGTGCTTAACATTGAGGACAAGTACTTTCACTCAGACTCTGGATCATTGTTATCAATATCTGTGTGCTAGTCATGATCATTGACTAGAGTAGGGCCACCTTGTTGCATATTAATATAATTCAATCCAGAGAAAATTACATCAGTACCCCTGATGTTCAGTAGTGATATTACACCAGATGTCCCTGGTCTTTTTTAACCAGTTTACCCTTTTCGATGGTTATAAAATATCTCCTTCGATAGTTCGATTTCTGATGATTTATATGAATTTATGGAGGTCTGTGCAATGCCAAAAAAAATGTGTATTTAGTGCAATATCATTAAATATCAGGGATGTGAGTGTATTTTACAATATAATCTAATATGGGAGATTTATAGAGCTAGTATTTTTGTTGTCTGAGGAGTAGTGGCAACTTTTACCATTAGGAGATGAGATGGAATAACATGAACCTGATAGGAGGCTAAATTGCGTTAATTTGGAGAATAATGGAATAACATTGTATAGCAAGTAAAACTGGTAGAACCAAAATCTAACTATGGTGACACTAAGGAACCAAGAATATAGTTATGCTTATTTCATTTACATAGGTATTTTTTTCTCTATCAGTCCACGAGAGACCAATTTTCAATTGTCTTGGGATTCAATATTTGGTGATGCATTTGTGTTACTACATAAGAAGGCAGATGATAAATCATAAATGCATACTTGCTTTGTTTGTGATCATTTGTCTGCATGTTTTGCCCTCATGGGTTAGGTTTGCAATTCTGTTTTATAGATTAGTATCTAGTAATAGAAGAATCAAGACTTCTGATTTCATGCAGGGGTTAATGGAACACCCTAAAGAAGTAGCATATTACTTCAATCAAAGAGGTGTTTCTGTCATATTTCTCTTCCGAAGAAACTTATTACGCAGAATGGTATCAATGCTTGCCAACTCCTATGACCGTTATGCCAAGCTATTGAGTGGAATTCATAAGTCTCATGTTCATTCTACAGAAGAGGTCTCTCTCTATCCTGTTTTTCGTTGATATCTTTTAACATTAAAATGAAACTCATTTGGCTTCTTTTAGGCTGAAACTCTTTCAAAGTACAAGCCTACCATATCCTGTTTTCCATTGATATCTTTTAACATTAAAATGAAACTCATTTGGCTTCTTTTAGGCTGAAACACTTTCAAAATACAAGCCTACCATTAATTCTACATCATTGCTGGCTGATTTGAAGGATATGGAGATGAGAACAGCAAAGGCATTGGAATACTTCAACACCACTCGGCATATGATCCTGTACTATGAGGATCTAATAAGAAATCGTACTGTAAGGGCCTCATCATACACTTCTTCATATTGTACTAAAAACTGCAATAATTACCTTTTTGGATGCATAATACAAGCATCATTTATTTACCAGTAATAACTTCTTTATGATTCACTGTTAGCGGATTTGAGTTTAGCTGCCTATTTGTCCCACAATATGATAATCTATGAAGAAATTTCAATATCATCTAAAATTTCAATTCCACAATATGAAAGCTGTCTAGTTTGAAGCATAGCTATACTTTTTTTAACAAAGTATATGTGAAATAATGAAGCTGCCAGTGGGCAATATTACATACTTTTCTTGAAAATGAATTTAACTAAACCTCTAACATGAATATTTGTTTCTTTTTCGTTGAATGGGGGAAGGGTGTTCTTGGGTCAGGTGGCCAGCTAACTTGAGATATTTAGTTTCTTCTTTGTTATCAATATGTTTGAAGTTAACAATATTTCTTATTCATACTGTTTCTTCAGAAGCTAAAAGATGTGCAAGAGTTTCTAGGATTGCCACAGATGGAATTATCGAGCCGTCAGGTTAAGATACACAGAGGAACGTTGTCAAGTCACATTAAAAATTGGGATGATGTGAACAGGACGCTAAAAGGAACTGCTTATGAGAAATTCCTTCATTCTGATTATTCATCTTAACCTCTAACTCCTGGAAGGTGTAAATATCAACACTGATTTTGTCCCAGGAAACAGTATAAAGTTTTGGTGCTGGTTGTGGCAAGAACTCTCTTTCCACATTCTGATGTTTCTTTTCACTGCCTCCAAATCAACACTCCATTGATGAGATGTATGTTCCTTTTTGATCTTTTATTTTTGTGCATTCTTGAATGTGTTTGTATATGCCTAGGCAATTTATTATTAAAGCTGAGCATTAGTTTTCTTCAAATGAATTTTCTATCTTTTATTCGTTTTTTGCCTTTTCAGTTATTTTATGAAATTGAACTCTATATATGATTTGCAAGTCTAACTGATTGTTTCTGAGATCTAGTACCAGTGTAGGTACTTTCTTTATATGTTTGTTTCCATTTTCTTTTCAACAGTATCTCTCATTCTCTACAAAATCTGCTTATAAAATAAGAATTATTATTTTTTACTTATATACTTTATTTTAGCCATACCATTAATTGATGTGAGATCTTTCTCACATTATTGCATGGCAATGTCAACCTCTAATTATGTGTTTGGTTTAAATTATTTCTGAAGAAAATAATCGTTTATTCTTTAAAATCTTTCTATAAAGATTGTTAAAACAAGTGATTATTTTTCCAAAATAAAGCTGAATTGAGCATGCACTAGCAATGATAGACATGCCAATTAGGATCCGTTCCGCATATAAGAATTGAATTACTTCATTTGTAAAGCTTGTGTTTGAACATTGTTGTCTAGTGATCTGTTATTCCTATTTAAGTTCTTGTGAAGACTAGTAGTGTAAACTAGGCCTTGAGTAGCCTTTTCTCTCGAAAGTAAGACCATTAAAAATACATTATACATTAGGACATTAAATTTTGTTGTCTTGTATCCATTGGTGTTAAGAAGTGGGTAGTCGTTACCCTTTCGGATCATGGTTATGTTGTGGTCTTTAAAACCAACGGATAGAAGGTTTTGAAATGTGGATCAATCATGAAGACCATAAATTTGAGCTTATTATGAACATTAAATAGGAAACTAAATTACAACATTGACGAATGAATGGCCCCGGCAAGATGCAACAACCTGTAATAAGAGGAGACATATATGGCAATGTGATTCCATTGATTACCTCCATCAGCGGCAGTTGCTTCCTGTTTGTAGGCACCACGTAAAACAATAACTATTTTATTATTTGGCTTTTCCAAGAGACAATAAATCAAGTGATTATTTTCCACACATGTAAGATGTTTCTCAATTCTCAAGCATCATTTACGGCTTATGATTTTGCCCCTTTGATTTTATTATTTGTGACCTTTTATACAAAATTTCTCTCTAATATTTTCTTTACACAAAGTTGGTTCGTTTTAGTGTTTTTCTTTGGAGAATTTTTTTTGTTGATTATCGAACTTAAGATCATATAGTTGTCTTATTTCATTTATTATACCTTTTAATCTCTATAATTAAATATATATATATATATATATGTATATATATATATAAAATTTGCAACCAAATCAGATTCGGTCGCTAATTATGTCGCTATTAGCAACAGAAAAAAATCGGTCGCTAATTTCGGTGGCTAAATTGACTTTTTTTTTGTAGTGAACTATGATAAGATACTTTGCATATTGAATTCATACAAGAAGATTGTATTTGATGCACATGGCACACAAAATAGAGTGGGCCCGTGGAATTAAACGGTCCATATTAACAGGGCAAATACTTAGTCAAATTTTATAATTAGTAATTAGAATCGTAGTAGAGAGCACTAACAGACTCAACAGATTATAAATACCATGGGAATCTCAACTTATCATATCATCTGTCTCAAAAACATTTTCAGAGATACATAACTAGCAAGTTCATTCTCTCTATACAAAACGCCTTTTAGTTCTTCCTTAACTCTTCAGTGATCATGGTTGTGCACAAATATTTCTTCATTTTCTAGCCCTAGTTGCTTGCCATGAACCCCTTCAAACACATGGCAGGAAAATAATAAGGCCATTGAACCGACATGCTTCACAAAACACTGTAGCTAAGACCTTCTATCACTTAAAACAAGCTTTGAATCACTAAATTATTCATCAGGCAACAGAACTACATCTCGACCAATTATACCAGGAGGGAGTCATGGTGTTGGCCACAGAATAATTACATCACAAGATAACAACAAGATGAAAACAATGGTGGCATTTTAGAGTCCACGTATTGAAGTTTCTGTGACTGAGGGCTCAAAAGATGATTTCAAACCTACAGACCTAGGTTACAGGACGTGTTTATCCAAACAAAATTGGACATGCAAATTAGTCATGTAAACTAAGCATTAAGCAATAACTCCACCAAAACTAGTTGGCCACGTGTATAATGAATAATGATGTCTTTGTTTTTCCTTTTTGCACTAGACTCTTTATTTGGCATTTCTTTTAGTGCAAATTTTTTTTAGGGGGTACCAAAACCCTCTGTGACTAGGACTACATAAATGATGATATGTGTTAATTTTGTCAGAACTTATATTTTTTAAGAATGTTTTAATATTTGCTATTTAACCCTCATTAATTATATCCTTTTAAATAATAGTCCCCAGCCTATTTAAATATGTTTTATCTTCTTCATTTCCCTACCCTTTCATTTTCATTTTTCAATCTTCTCTCTAGCGCATCTCTGGCTCCGGTGCTCTCCCTACCAAAAGCTCCATCAAAGACAGTAACTTTCCTGTTTACCCTTCGTTCCTACCCTTTTCATTTTCATTTTTCCTCTTCTCTCTGTTGCATCTTCTTGCAAGCAACTCTGATTTTTTGTTGTTTTTTATTTTCGATTACCTCCCATTCTCTAGTCTCCGGTGCTCCAAAACCTACTCTCCCTACCAAAAGCTCCATCAAAGAAGGTATCTTCACCGTGTACACTCCGTTCCACATACCACAACGAGTATCTAGGTTGGGAAATCTTCAGCATATGGTTTCGATTGAGGTTCGGATTTCGTTAGTCAGATTTTAATTTGGTCGCTAAAATTATTATAAATAATAATATTTTTTATTTTTTTAGCGACAGATTTTAATTTGGTCGCTAAAATTATTATAAATAATAATATTTTTTATTTTTTTAGCGACCGATTTTAATTTGGTCGCTAAAATTATTATAAATAATAATATTGTTTATTTTTTTAGCGACCGAAACCGTTCCGTCGCTATTTTAATCAACAATTATTATTTTAGTGACCGATTTCGCGACCGATTATTTGTCACTAAAAAATTCGGTCGCTAAATTGGTTGCTAAATAAAATTTGCAACCAAATCAGATTCGGTCGCTAATTATGTCGCTATTAGCAACAGAAAAAAATCGGTCGCTAATTTCGGTGGCTAAATTGACTTTTTTTTTGTAGTGAACTATGATAAGATACTTTGCATATTGAATTCATACAAGAAGATTGTATTTGATGATTATATTTATTTTTTTAATCTTCTTTATTTTTTAAAGTTAAAAATAAATTTGTTAGTTTGCATATTTTTAATCATTTTAGTCTTATTAATTTTTTTTGTAATGTTTTTTTTTCTGTTAAAATGATAGTTATATTAATTCAATTTTATGTATTTAATATTAAATTTATTTTGTGGAAGTTATTTTAAATTAAGTTTTTGATATTTTATAAACTATAGAAATTAAAAGATAAAATAAGAAAAATTATATAAAAAAATTTTAAACCTAAAATAAAATAATTTTCTCGAAAAAAGCAATCATGAATTTTTGTTAACTGTCCATAACCTTATATGGATAATTATGTTGGACATTTAAGAATCGATTATTTTGGCGGAATCAAACCGTTACCTCTTGACAAAAGGTGGTGTGCTTTAATTAATGCATCAGCTTAAGCATCACATCAATTTGACTTTTTCTAATATTACTCAAACTTCCAAAGCAAAATTCTCTCCATCTCACTGCCTCAATTGGTTAATATTTTTATTTCGAAGCGTTTTTTTTTTATGTTCTGTTAGCAATTATCAAATAACTAAAAATATAAAAATAAAAGTATAATAAAAATAAGGGCGAATTGCAAAATTATAGATTAAGCATATTTTATATGCTAATTAAACAAAATGTAAAATGTTTTTATTTGCATATCAAGAAAACAATTACACCAAAGCGAATTTCTGAGTGGCATCCCAACCTGGAGATTCAAAGTAGGCAAACAATCCGAGTAGAAGGGTGTTCATGGTTTGTTTTGTCCCACTAAGTCGGTTCAACATTTTTGACAAATTCACATTAAATAAATTTGACCTAATTTTTTTGTAGATAAGTTTGAGTCATCATTTTAAGTTATTCTATTTTAATCGAAAGTCACATTATTTTTTAAAAAAGAGATTTTTTTAAGTATCATATATTAATATACCACTTTTTAAAAAGTATATATTCTTTTAGATAAAATATTTTTAATCTCTCAATATTTTAAAATATTAATTTTAGTCCCTGTAAAATTTTAATACGTTTTTAATCCATTTATTTATCAGAAAATAAATTTTTAATCTTCAATACGGGACTAAAATTACATCATTTTAAATAAATATAAAGGCTAAAAGTGTATTAAATTTTTACAGGACTAAAATTAACATTTTGAAATAAAACGTGGATTATTGAACCTGCTGTCACCGATACATGGCCACAGATTTGGCCCAAAAAACGGGGTCATACTTGGGCCCTTACATTATAACTTCAATAATATGTTGGTTTTTAATGTTGGTTCATGATATATACATCTCCCTTTTTTCTATAAGTACACTTCTTTTTTTAAAAAAATAATAATTAAATTTCTAAAGTATTGTTAACTTTTTATTTTTAATTTTTAATTTTAATTTTACATCCACAACATTTAATTTAGTACTTTTTTTCACACTTTTTTTTAATTTTTATATGCACCTCCTTACCTTTCTTTCATTCACCTATTTTGGTAGCATGTTAAAATTAAAAGAGAAAAAAAGTGTGTGAAAAAGAAGAAGAAAGTAGCAAATTAAAAGTTGGAAGTGTAAGATTAGAAAATTAAAAAAAAAACTATAATATTTTATAAAATTTTTAAAAAAATTAAGGAAGTGTACTTATAGAAAAAGGAGGTGTATATATCATGATGAGCCTTTAATGTTTGTTATGCAAATAGCATAGGCCCGCCTGATTACAAAAGCCCAAAATACGAACTTCCTTTTTTGGGTCATCCACCACTGTCATTTATATTAGTAGCAGGGTGTTGAGGGTTGGAAAATGGATTGGTTTGAATTTAGACTAAAATTAGATTTAAATACATAATTAGATTGATTGATTTATTTATTTTTTTGTCAATT